CGTCACGTCGGGCTCCACACAGCCCGTGTCTCGTCCGTGCTGCCTCCCTGCTCCAGACCGAACACCCCTCCACCCCAATTTCCACCTCCAAGGTCGACACCACGCGCTCTCTCCTCGCCGTCGCCCTGCAACGGCCCCGCCTCCGTCCATCCTCTTCCCAGACCACGTCTCCGCCACTGCCCCTGCGACGCGCGTGACCCGACGGCAGCGTCCCCAGACGCGCTCGCAGCAGCGCTGCTACCTGTCAGCGGCCGCCACATGAATTATGATGCGGCGCTGCCCTCCACCGCCTGGGCCCCTGCGCATGCGGCGCGTCTCCGCTGCGCTTTCTTCGGCGCACCTGCACTGCTCTAGTCAATTTACAGCTTGCTGACATTGCAACTAACATTGTTTTGAATTATCACTCAGCAAAATCATATTTTGATCTCCGAATATTATTGCTGAAAAAGATGAAATGCTTAGGTTATTTAAACTTATCATTAATTCGAGTTTTCATTTTCTTTACATTTCAGAGGCAGAGCAAGAAGGCATACTTCAAAATAAATTACCACTATCAACAAAATATTTCCGAAGTATTACTGATTTGGAAAGATTGAGTGGAATCATCTTTGACTCATGCTATTTTCTCATAAATTCCGTCTTTTACTTTGTACTTTGTGTATTTAAAACAAGTTTTATCTACTTGTATTTGTTAATGTAATAATACTATTTTTGCATTTTAAACCAATTACAAGTTTCCATCTCACAGAGATGTTGGTCTGTTTACGAAACGTATGCCTCTCAAACACTCATGAATGTATCAGTATGATTTATCTTCTACAGGCAGTTTGAAATACACGTGTGCTAATCGTACACCTCTCAGATAGGAAATGGTATAATTGCAAATACTTAAACACTTAACATATTCGAAAGAAAAGCTCACAAACTCAGAAGAATTCTGGATGAACTACATTAAGCTACTGGTTGGATTTTGCTGATTCGGTTTGCTGAAATTTTGGAATATACTTCTGAGGTATTATCAATTTAATTATTTTTGGGAACTTCTAAAAATAATACATTTTAGTAAGATTACGAATTTCATTATTCACCAAGTACATAACACACATACTTACACAAACATATGCATATATAAAATCAAAACTTATTTCACATAATATTCAACGCCCCCATTAACTAGACCGAATCTATAAACTCCAGCACCGATGAATCCATAGTAATAGGAGCCATTGTTTGCATGGCCGCCCTTTATTCAGCTTTACGCACTTGGCACAAAGCTCGTGGTTGAAAACTGTTTTAACCTCGATAGTTGAGCACTGCCACATTCTGATTATCTCGTTCGTCCCCGGAGTTCATGCACAAAATCCCGACACATTGTATATTTCCCAGGCGATGTAATGGAACTGCTATTATCGCATTAGTCACCAATTAGTCTTACCATAGGCAGCAGTTGATTTAGTGTTAATGGAAATTATTTCAACTAACGTCTTTTAAATGCAAACAGAACTACTTAAATGGTACTATGGCGGAAAATTGATTACTCACAAAACGTTTTCTTCTCTTGTTTACTGCACACTACTGTAAACTTTGCACGACACTGTTACATTAATTATATACTAACTGCTAACGCAGTGTATTAACCTAATTCAAATGCAAATATAATTTGCATGAGAGCTTAGTCACTTCAGTAGACACCTACTCCTGGAGGAAAATTAAATAAACTATTGGGTTGGAATAAAAGTAATTGCAGAAGTAGACAGTATCAGACGCAGAGTACCATGTTTGCTGTTGTCCGCTAATATTCCGATGTATCATTTAAGTAATTTGTCTCCAAATGATGCAAAACACTCATCCGTGAGCTGTAATTCTTATTGTCGGATCAGACTAACTAAGCACTGAACAGCATCGTGAGCAAAGATTGGTTTAGACTTAATAGTTTTTAGTTTTATCCCGTGATGCATTGCCTACCGTGAGGCATTTTCAACTATTATAGTACGATTTATTTAGTCGTGCACTTGACAATAAAATCAGCTGTTGCGGTTTCACCCAATCATGAGCCTATATGTCGCTATACTCGTAATAACGTTACTGAGGACGTTCAAGCTCCCGATTGGAT